TACCGAAAGGTTTTGGATATTTAAACTCTGAAATTTACACGTGGAATTTTAAATTATAATATTTTTATCTATATATTTAATCTATCACAAGCACGACTTGAGAGAAAATATGACATGATTGAAACTCCGATATTAACGCAACCAATATCGAGAAGAGATTATGAAGGCGTCTGAAAAATTAATTCTACTCTTTTAGACATCTCAATTATCTTTTGATATAACCGTATAAATATTCACAATAAAAACTATAATAGACAGTACGTACTTTTTATCACCGCTGATTACAATCTACGAGAGAACGCTATCTTTTTTATCTATAATGAAAAATGAGATGTTTCAAATTTACTTGTAATTCGTGAATAAATGCTTAGCGATTTAGGAAACGCCAAGCGTACATCTCTATGCAACTTCGAAAATCGATGGTGAGATACGGATCATTCATAAATCAGAATTTAATAGCGATACGCGGCTAAATAGACAATGACGCGCACTCTTCGGACCTCGGTAACGGCCCGACACAATGCGTTGATTTATGATCGTGGCGAGTTAATATTTTTTTCTCAGCGCGGACAACGATATTCATTGATATTAATAATATCGGCCCACACGATGGGCGCAAGTATCTCCGCAAGATTAATCACTTTTAATAATAGACGAACAATAGAGTGTCATTGTCGTCACTCCTCGCGCTTGGAAATGAAAATTATATTATACTACATGCGGGCAATTTTGCGTTACAAAATGATTTCACAATTTTATGGCGGACGGTTTTTGTAATAATCTATAAATCTTTTCTACAGATATTAGTCTTTTCATAATTACGATTACTAAATATATATATTTACTATTTTTATTATATAAAAAGTTTTGAAAACAATTTTAATCGTTACAGAATCTATTGAAATGAGAGAAATATTACGTCTCCCGTAATATAGCGGTATGAAATATTAACGTGTGATGAGACATAGCATCCAAAACACACAGTTTTTTTTATCTAACGATAATTGCTCTCTCGAGACGAAACGGCAAACGATCTTGCCTCGTGTTCATTATCGTATTATCGAAGGACGATCGGGGTTCATCATGAATTTCCTTCCGAATTCTCCTTCATTATTCATCGGATGCTATCGAATTTAGAAGCAACCGTTTTTCCGTTTTCTTTAGCATAAATTTGCATCGGCGTCGTTAGCCGGTTCGACAGGATGGTTGCTAGATGACATTAACATGTAATACACACACATTGTAGCTTTCGAGCTACAATTTATCACTGATCAGCCGCGGACAGTTGGTATCGAGCATGTAAAAAAGCTCTATTGCATTGCGTACTGCGCGGACTGCATGCAAAAAGGTTTCGCGGATTCGCATATACGCAATTTATCGACATGTGTGTTGCTACGAATAATCCGTTTATGCGATCGTTTGAAAGTAGATCGTCCTTTTAACTATATTTCTTTATCGAATAATTTTTATATAAAATAAATCAAACGCGAAATTTTTTTTTTTTATTTGAAGTGAAATTATTTTTTATGGTAAAATATTATTATATATTTTTTCTGTTACTAAAGAATTTTGAAAATTATTTTTAGTTTTGAGAAGTAGTTCGATTTTCTTTATCTAAATATTCTCTGTCTAATTTTCGACGCGAAGAAAGCGGATATGCCGAGAGAGGAAAGACTTCGCAGAAGGAAATTCTAAAGCAACTCTCGCGAAGTTATACTGCCAACGAAATATGCTACATCAAAAGTATGTATATGAGACTAATCGGGATATATTATCCGCAACTGCCATTCTCTTGGAAACCTTCTTCTCAGTATTGCGAAAGTATTACGATAGTACAACGAATAATCAACCGAGCATCAACCCTTGCTATACGACTTTTAACACAGAACCAAACGTGTTCTTCTCCTCGCGGGAGGCAATGATTATTCGTTAATTATAAACGCGTTTTACAAAATTCTGAGCGCTACGTCCGTTTCGTGAGGCGAAACGAGACGTCGGTTTCACGTCAAACGGGGGTTTCTGATTACAAATATCGTACGAAATCACGCGTAGGTAGGTAGGTCAAGGCATATAATCGATGTCAACTCGTGACAATACACACTAGGAATTCAATGCCTTCTGAAATGCCTTCCAAATGCGGTGTTCGATACACCGGATTGTATACAAAGAGGAACCGAAAGACGACGAAGTTAATATTCTCGTCGGTTCCTTGCGCGCCGTATTGACGCGACTTCATCACTTTCCTTCGCGCGAATTTGACTCTTCAACTGCGACACCTGCTTTCTCAAAGTTTCAAATGAAATGCAAATGTGCTACACAATTTTACGATATCTCTTAATGCGATTTATTATTTTCATGTTAATGAATATAAAATAGCAATGTCAAATTAATAGTATAAAGCCTCGACTGATTATGAATTTTAGTTGCTCATATACAGGGTGTCAGGTAAAGATTGTGCCAACGCTCCTGAGCGGGTAGAGCACAATAAACTGAACAGAAAAGTCCTGCACCATTTTGCAATTTTCGTAATAATTATTGAAATATTAATTAAAAAAGATTGGCGAATGAGCGCGCGTTTCGTGCGGCTAGACCTAGACCTAGACCATGGGACGTACGCTCAGCGGCGAGCTTCGCAGTATCGCATGGCAACGAAAAGTTTGGCCTCGCGACGAGGGTCGGGGTACGCGCGAACAGCGAGCGGCCATTATTAACAATTATTAAATGATTTAGATAAATAATGCTAACTAAATGCTTGCCTAACAATTACAAAAAGAATTAATTGGGTGAATAAAATATTTAATTCAGAGAATTTAATTGATTCAACTACACGTATCATTGCGCAACTAAAACATCGAAAAACAGTTGCGCAATGGTATCTAACGACATCGTTAAAGGTTACAGAATAGAATTCTTAATTTAACAAACAAAATAAAAAAGGGTAATAAGAGCCAGTCGCGGTAATTAGAGCGCATAAATTTTTTATTTAAATAACTTTAAATCATAGAAAAATGTACGTTTCGATCTCTATAATAGGGCGCGCATGGCTCTTATTGCCTTTTCATATCTTGTTTGTTCTATTTAAAATACATATTTTTATTATAATTTTTTTAGTAATAAAAAAATGAAAACGTGTTATGTAAATGAAAAATATTACGAATGTTTATCTTTTATATTATAATCCTTATTTTATGAGAGCTATTTTTTTTTTCTTTCCGTTACATTTGCAAATCCAACATTAAAACATTAAAAAATACATACAATAAAAAAATTATTTTAGAAAGTTGCAAAGAATCTTCAAAATATTCTCTTTATTTTGAATTTTGAACAAAAATACCTGGAAAATCACAGAATTCTTTTACAAGATTTGACTAGACACATAATATTTTGTGACTCGAGAAAGAAAACACGTGTCGAAAGGTTAATAACATTAATGACAAAAATATCGTAATTGCTTTTCGTAATGAGACGCATATTGAATCCATAAACAACGCCAATTAATCGCGCACTGTTTACATTTATTACACATGTCACACGTAAAGCGTACGATTGTTTTATTAACTCAGGGAAGGTCCCGTTGCAGCGCATTGAATAATTTCTCGCTGGATCGTATTTAACGTCGTCGACACAATGATAACGTAATGTAAACAACAGCGAAATGCCAACCGAGCTGCAATCAATTCCGCTCATGATCTTTCGCGCCTGCGGTTCCTCTGCGGTTCATGTGCAGGTCAACCGATAGCTTGGTTGAAATTACACGCGAGTTGCACGCATCTCCGTCTCTTATCATCCTTGTCGTATCATCGTTATCTTTTAACGACAAGATCCTTGAAGACGTGCTACCACGAAATTGTAGATAAGAAACTCTCTTCACTCGCTAAGCATTTCTTTGTCAGAAGCGTCTATATTTGTACTTGAGTTTTGCGTCTTTTTTTGCTTTCAGGGCAACGCTGGGCCGCATATGCATGAAACTGGTGATCGTGATGGGTATCACCTGGGTGGCGGACGTGGTCTCATGGGCGGTCGGCGGGCCGCAGTACATCTGGTACTTCACCGACTTAATAAACGCTTTCCAAGGGGTGCTGATTTTCGCGACGGTCGGTTGCCAGCCCCAGGTTAGAGCGGCGCTCAAGAGACTCTTCAGCAGAAATCCGCAGACTAACGCCGGTAGGCAGGGTAACGGTCACAGCACGACCAGTCACGGGATGCCCAGCATGGGCGATAGCGTTACGCAGAATCCAAGTACCAAAACAGCGCCGTTGGAGACCATCTGTTAGAATGGTTTTTTCGCGGAAGGAGTCTGTCCATCTTTTTCGAAAGTCACACATATGCTCATACATATACACAAACACATACTTCATTGAATGACACGAATTGTCACGTCACTTTATCGGTACAAGAATATGATTGACATCACGTTCATGAACATATTAAGTGTGATAAGGCTTTTTCACCGAGCTAGATATGACGCGAGAAAAGTCTTCATTTTTATTACACGTTGTAAACGATACAACAAGGTCTTGTCGTCGTAATCGATCGGAGAATATTTCTGCAGGATCGATTTGGCAACGAAAAAAATCTCTCGCGTCACAGGTCCATTGACCTGTAAAGTTTGGACGATTCCGCTGAAAGTATCGACATTTCCCAGACAATACGCAAGCCCGAAGGAAGTTAGCATGATCTCTAAGATACACCTGAAAGTATTTAGAACGTATGTTGAATGCGTTTCAGGTATGTTTTGGACTTTCCCGGCCACTTGAGTTCTCGCGAAACGCGATAGCGTATAATCTCGTCAAATAATGTAGTAGTAAACGGGGGAGAAATAACACGAGAGTTTTCTACCCCCTATCTAGTCGTAAAGTTTCGCTGCATGGATACGAAAACACAAATTTTTTATTCGAAATTGTTATTTAATTTCAATGAGAGCTTTAATGTGACACAGCATTCGAAAATGCACGAGATAAATCACTTCAACTTCCTGTCACACGCAGGCTATTCGATGAATATACCAGTCATTTTAATTTTCCATTCGTAACATAAATTGTCGGACGAAATACAATTGGCGATATACGATAATATATCTGAAATTATCTCGATAAGCTTTTAGGTTGTTTTGTTTGACCGAGGTTAATCACCTACAACCATCAGATTTTACAAAACGAGCGGCGATACAGTTCGCCTTAATCACGTCTGAGAATCTGAGAAAACTGGATACACACTTGCACTGACAAAGATAGATCGCGAAATTTTGCTGACGAAAGAACGAGAATGTTAATTGTCTATTCCTGTTTTGGTACTATCGAAACATCGTGCGATCCATCTTTTCTGACATAAGCAATTACTCATTCTACGCAATAAAACAACTCTTTGGTACACGAAATCGTTGATCTCGCGATAGATAGAGCAAATTTTCGAACAAGTGAGATACATAGCATTGAAAACTGAGAAAATATTACCGAAAGGTTTTGGATATTTAAACTCTGAAATTTACACGTGGAATTTTAAATTATAATATTTTTATCTATATATTTAATCTATCACAAGCACGACTTGAGAGAAAATATGACATGATTGAAACTCCGATATTAACGCAACCAATGTCGAGAAGAGATTATGAAGGCGTCTGAAAAATTAATTCTACTCTTTTAGACATCTCAATTATCTTTTGATATAACCGTATAAATATTCACAATAAAAACTATAATAGACAGTACGTACTTTTTATCATCGCTGATTACAATCTACGAGAGAACGCTATTTTTTTTATCTATAATGAAAAATGAGATGTTTCAAATTTACTTGTAATTCGTGAATAAATGCTTAGCGATTTAGGAAACGCCAAGCGTACATCTCTATGCAACTTCGAAAATCGATGGTGAGATACGGATCATTCATAAATCAGAATTTAATAGCGATACGCGGCTAAATAGACAATGACGCGCACTCTTCGGACCTCGGTAACGGCCCGACACAATGCGTTGATTTATGATCGTGGCGAGTTAATATTTTTTTCTCAGCGCGGACAACGATATTCATTGATATTAATAATATCGGCCCACACGATGGGCGCAAGTATCTCCGCAAGATTAATCACTTTTAATAATAGACGAACAATAGAGTGTCATTGTCGTCACTCCTCGCGCTTGGAAATGAAAATTATATTATACTACATGCGGGCAATTTTGCGTTACAAAATGATTTCACAATTTTATGGCGGACGGTTTTTGTAATAATCTATAAATCTTTTCTACAGATATTAGTCTTTTCATAATTACGATTACTAAATATATATATTTACTATTTTTATTATATAAAAAGTTTTGAAAACAATTTTAATCGTTACAGAATCTATTGAAATGAGAGAAATATTACGTCTCCCGTAATATAGCGGTATGAAATATTAACGTGTGATGAGACATAGCATCCAAAACACACAGTTTTTTTTATCTAACGATAATTGCTCTCTCGAGACGAAACGGCAAACGATCTTGCCTCGTGTTCATTATCGTATTATCGAAGGACGATCGGGGTTCATCATGAATTTCCTTCCGAATTCTCCTTCATTATTCATCGGATGCTATCGAATTTAGAAGCAACCGTTTTTCCGTTTTCTTTAGCATAAATTTGCATCGGCGTCGTTAGCCGGTTCGACAGGATGGTTGCTAGATGACATTAACATGTAATACACACACATTGTAGCTTTCGAGCTACAATTTATCACTGATCAGCCGCGGACAGTTGGTATCGAGCATGTAAAAAAGCTCTATTGCATTGCGTACTGCGCGGACTGCATGCAAAAAGGTTTCGCGGATTCGCATATACGCAATTTATCGACATGTGTGTTGCTACGAATAATCCGTTTATGCGATCGTTCGAAAGTAGATCGTCCTTTTAACTATATTTCTTTATCGAATAATTTTTATATAAAATAAATCAAACGCGAAATTTTTTTTTTTTATTTGAAGTGAAATTATTTTTTATGGTAAAATATTATTATATATTTTTTCTGTTACTAAAGAATTTTGAAAATTATTTTTAGTTTTGAGAAGTAGTTCGATTTTCTTTATCTAAATATTCTCTGTCTAATTTTCGACGCGAAGAAAGCGGATATGCCGAGAGAGGAAAGACTTCGCAGAAGGAAATTCTAAAGCAACTCTCGCGAAGTTATACTGCCAACGAAATATGCTACATCAAAAGTATGTATATGAGACTAATCGGGATATATTATCCGCAACTGCCATTCTCTTGGAAACCTTCTTCTCAGTATTGCGAAAGTATTACGATAGTACAACGAATAATCAACCGAGCATCAACCCTTGCTATACGACTTTTAACACAGAACCAAACGTGTTCTTCTCCTCGCGGGAGGCAATGATTATTCGTTAATTATAAACGCGTTTTACAAAATTCTGAGCGCTACGTCCGTTTCGTGAGGCGAAACGAGACGTCGGTTTCACGTCAAACGGGGGTTTCTGATTACAAATATCGTACGAAATCACGCGTAGGTAGGTAGGTCAAGGCATATAATCGATGTCAACTCGTGACAATACACACTAGGAATTCAATGCCTTCTGAAATGCCTTCCAAATGCGGTGTTCGATACACCGGATTGTATACAAAGAGGAACGACGACACGACGAAGTTAATATTCTCGTCGGTTCCTTGCGCGCCGTATTGACGCGACTTCATCACTTTCCTTCGCGCGAATTTGACAACTGCGACATTTTCTTATATGAATATTTTCTCTTTTGAGTTCCCGAATATACATATCTTGTATCATTTAATAATTGGCGAAACGGATCTTCTCCGGTTCTTTTTATTTTATACTATCATCGCAACACTGTATGTTAATAAGTTAATATACATATATATACAGGGTGTCCGGTAAAGATTGTGCCAACGCTCGTGAGCGGGTAGAGCACAATAAACAAGTTCTGCAAGTTCTGCACCATTTTGCAATTTTCGTAATAATTATTGAAATATTAATTAAAAAAGATTGGCGAATGAGCGCGCGTTTCGACCATGGGACGCTAGACTATGGGACGTACGCTCAGCGGCGAGCTTCGCAGTATCGCATGGCAACGAAAAGTTTGGCCTCGCGACGAGGGTCGGGGTACGCGCGAACAGCGAGCGGCCATTATTAACAATTATTAAATGATTTAGATAAATAATGCTAACTAAATGCTTGCCTAACAATTACAAAAAGAATTAATTGGGTGAATAAAATATTTAATTCAGAGAATTTAATTGATTCAACTACAAGTTTTTTTTCCTTCAACAAAACTTTAATAACTGTAATCAAATTTTGATAGCAAAAAATAAGATATTTGATAAGTATTATCAGATATTTGGGTAATTATCACCAAATCGTGGTAACGAGAAATTAAAAAGTATCAAACTTAAAGATTATTAAATATTATTAAATTATTATTATTTAAATATTATTAAATTATTATTATTTAAATATTATTAAATTTAAATATTATTGATTTAAATATTTTTTTAGTTTGACAATGAATATCGATTCCGCGTGCCTGTGATTACTAGCCTTGTGCTTACTGACTGTGTTATGCGTTTCTGCTTGCTGAGTATCTTTCTTAAAGGCTCATAGCTTACATTATCGAACGCTTGAAATTTCAAAAAATATTAAAAACTATTATCTAAAAAAATTAAAAACTATTATTTATAAGGTACATTGAAGAGAGACGAAACGTTTGGACACAGATAACATTTTGGGTGTAGATTTATCATGCGTAAGTGAATCAAAAGATATATCGTGATTAGTCGCCTGTGTCCTCTCCTTGTAAGTAGAGATCGAAACGTACATTTTTCTATGATTTAAAGTTATTTAAATAAAAAAATTTATGTACTCTAATTACCGCCACTGGCTCTTGTTACCCCTTTTTATTTTGTTTGTTACATTAAGAATCCTATTTTGTAACTTTTAACGATATCGTTACGTATCATTGCGCAACTAAAACATCGAAAAACAGTTGCGCAATGGTATCTTAGCGTATGGTTATATTTCGATTTAGTAAATGAATCTATTGTATGTATTATATAATTAGTCCGATTATATGATGCTTTTACTTACCGGAAATAATTAATCATGAGCATATATTTTTTGGCAATGACGACAGCAGATTACATCATCAAAAAAATATTAGAATAAAGAAGATAAAAGGTAAATAGGACAAACAAGATAAAAAAAGGCAATAAGAGCCATGCGCGACCTAATTATCGTGCATCGCTCTTATTGCCTTTTTGTTATCTTGTCTGTTCTATTTATCTTAAATCTTTTTATTTAGATAGCTTTAAATCATAGAAAGACGTACGTTTCGATCTCTTCTTCGTATCATCTTCAGCGCAAATAAATAATAAATTTTTTTTTCGGTTAATTTATCGATTTCTAATTCCCGAAGTAGAGATCGAAACGTAAATTTTTCTGTGATTTAAAGTTATTTAAATAAAAAATTTATGCGCTCTAATTACCGCGACTGGCTCTTGTTACCCTTTTTTATTTTGTTTGTTACATTAAGAATCCTATTCTGTAACCTTTAACGATGTCGTTAGATACCATTGCGCAACTGTTTTTCGATGTTTTAGTTGCGCAATGATACGTGTAGTTGAATCAATTAAATTCTCTGAATTAAATATTTTATTCGCCCAATTAATTCTTTTTGTAATTGTTAGGCAAGCATTTAGTTAGCATTATTTATCTAAATCATTTAATAATTGTTAATAATGGCCGCTCGCTGTTCGCGCGTACCCCGACCCTCGTCGCGAGGCCAAACTTTTCGTTGCCATGCGATACTGCGAAGCTCGCCGCTGAGCGTACGTCCCATAGTCTAGCCGCGCGAAACGCTCATTCGCCAATCTTTTTTAATTAATATTTCAATAATTATTACGAAAATTGCAAAATGGTGCAGGACTTTTCTGTTCAGTTTATTGTGCTCTACCCGCTCACGAGCGTTGGCACAATCTTTACCGGACACCCTGTATATGTCGCAGCCAGATTACATAATCCATCGTTTTATAAAACGTCTAGGCATTTTATAAAGAATTTATTTGTCTTATTATTCTGTACATAAAAGTATTACGGTAAGATTATCGAAAACTAAATATTTTACGAGATATTTTATTTTTTATATCAAAATATGTCAGATTTAAATATAAAATAACTCTAAATATAAAATTACCTACTTCTATACATATTTTTATATAAGCCTGGCGTACACGTGTGGGATGATAAAAACGGCATTGCGTGATCTTAGTCTCCTTCTTTTTTAGGCTATCGAAATCTTCATTTTTCATAGTATAATCACTTCTAAAAGTTTAGTTGATACCACATGATGTATGTATATATGTATACAGGGTGTCCCATTTTAAAAGTTCCATCGTCATAACTTGTTTATTTTTGATTGTAGAAAAAAATGTTTCAGACAAAAGTTGTATAGTTTCGAGGGGGCCACATGATAAAAATATGGATTTGACCTTGAGTGACCTTTTCAAGGTGAGATCAATGTGATCGACGTTTTCTTAAATGGAACCCCCCTTTTTTATTACATATTCTTGTAGCTTATCTCGAGAGCTTTTCAAAACACTATAATAAAGTATTACGGTAAGATAGACCACGTATCGATCAAGACGTGTTCGACTTACAGTATTCTTAAACCACGTGCTCAAGAATCCTTCCTACAAACTGTGAATTATAATAATAATGTTAAAAACCCAACATAATGTTCAAACGAATTGTGCTAATTACCGGTAGCACACTATTGTTGAGATTATCAAGTAGCTTTGCCGAACAGAGTCACTCCACATCAGAACAATGGACATTTAATGAAAATAATTCTTTGGATTCGGTGAATTTAAACAATATTTTAGATGACGATAATTGTAATAATGAACAGTGTTTTGCAAACACGGTATCATTAAATCCTATCAATCTACCGTTGTTACCTATAATCTTTGCTCAGTCAGAGGATTTGCCAGATGGAAAATGTAAAGAAGACACACAACGATTTTTAAAGAAATTGCAAAATGGTACTCTGTGGGCTGTGCAAAGTAAGTATCGAAAATTACAAAACTTGTATAAACGAAACTACTTAAAAATTTGTGTTTATAAATTATTATTGCGAGAAATATTAAAATACATTTTTTTATTAAATATTATATAGTAAAAGGGAGATTAGATATATATTCAAATAGTTTAAATAATACAAAGCTTCCTCTATGAGGAAGCAAAAATTGAAAAATCCGCATGCTTAAAGCAGCTTAAGCTTTGTAAGATAAAATGATGAGGAAGCAATGTGCAAGTTTCTAATTTTTTTTTGTTCTCTCGCCCCACATTATGCTTACTTCGTGCTGTGAATAATTGTTATCATAAAGATCATAATTTTGACGAGTCTTATTAGTTAACTATTGTGTGAGATTTTTTTTCATTCTTTAAGCACGAGGATGTGTATACAGGAACGAGGAAATACTCACCGCATTCGTCGCTATTTATTGAAACTAGCTTTATGCGTACCAGCAACATGTAGCGCAAAAGACGTAGAAACGGCTTTAAAAAGGCCTCTAGAAAAGATCGGTGCAAATAACAATATTAATATAGAACCTGTCATTCATGTAGATTCATGTAGATTTTTGCCAAACAATTGAGATCAGTGACATTGTAACCAGATATTTTAGGTAAATATAAAAAGAACGACATTATTTTTTTCCGATATTTGAAACTTTTTTCAAGTATACATATAAGTGTATATAAGTGTATACAAGTGTATGGAATATACTATATTGCACAATTTAAATTTTCAAGATTACAAATATATTATCTAAAGAGCCATACCATTGTTTGATTCTATTAAAACATATTTCGATTTATAAATTAATAGATTAACACCGTCCTACGCCATAATAATCTTCTTTCATGTTTGGATCTTACCGCTTCTTGGTTCGGGACCCTTTTGGAAGCATGAAATCGTACACGAGAGCGAGGAATGTGCCGCTAATTGGTGGTCAAATCTACTGTATATTAACAATTATGTAAAATCAACAGAAATGGTAAGATATTTTAGATCGATTGATATATAGAGATAAAGAATTCTTTTATAAACAATATACATATCTGTTTTTTTTTATTTAGTGTATGTTTCAAACGTGGTATTTAGCCGTCGATTTCCAGTTATTTATTCTTAGCCAACTTGTAATTTACGCATTTTGGCGTATGCCTCGTAAAATTGGATATTCTTTTCTTGGAACGCTAACAATCATCAGCTGTGCTATACCATTTTTTTTAACATATTCATATGGCGTATCGCCTATTTTTCTATTTACGCTGCGATAAATTATGCGTGTATCATTTATATATATAGCGTGTTTTGTGAAATACCATATACATATATTTATGTTATATATATATGTTATATATGTTATATAAGAAGTACTTGTGCTAATTTTCTAAATGGTATTTTAACGCATAATGTAAGAACTAAAGCAACCAAAAACGAAAAGACTGTGTCTGGAATGGAATCCCATATCTAGACAGAGAAAATTTATAATTATAACAGCTACTCGTTTAAATAGATAATATGCAAAAAACATGATTAGTATAGGATTGCAATCTTGTAAATTTTGTAAGTAATTTATTATTTAATTGGAGCATTTAATTGTTTAATAATTACATAATACATAGAGTTACATATATTTATAATATTATACTGTTCAAAAATAAGAAATAATATTAGAAAATATTTTAAATACTCATTTAGTGACAGCTTTTTTTGAGGGAAGAAGTACTTGTGCTAATTTTCTAAATGGTATTTCAACGCATAATGTAAGAACTAAAGCAACCAAAAACGAAAAGACTGTGTCTGGAATGGAATCCCATATCTAGACAGAGAAAATTTATAATTATAACAGCTACTCGTTTAAATAGATAATATGCAAAAAACATGATTAGTATAGGATTGCAATCTTGTAAGAAAATCATCATATACGTACTATATCATAAAATGAAAACATTCTGGCGCTTCTTCTTCGTCCGTTGTT